CAACCAAGAAAACTGAAAAAAAACAAATTTGTATGTTAAAAAATAAAAAACAGAGACAGCCTACCAAAGTTGATAAACAGAGGAAAAAAAAAAAATTTTTGAGATTCCTCTCACACTAAAAATGGGTGTCAGGATTTCATTGGTAATGGGCCCCACCCACAGCTGACGATATCACCGAAACCTCCCTTCGGAAAGCCACAAAAAAACGCTTATTTGGAAAAAAAAAATCAAACCCCCAAAAAGGGGGGGTGGTGCCCCCCAAAAAAAAAAGGCACCCATTTCACCAAAAACGAAGTCGGTCCTTCCAAACCTAACGCCAGCACTAAAAAAAAAAAACCCTTAAACTAAAAAGAACAAAAGCAAAAAAAAAAATAACACACACTCGAAGCGCCAAGAAAAACAATCAAAAGAGGAAGACTTGCAATTGCATGAACGAAAAGCAGGGACAACCGACAAACACGAAAATCAAAATTAACCTGTCGCTTGTGGAAAAACTTACTTTGGAAGAGGGACGAAAACCAGAAACGGCCAATAGTTTAGGGACTAAAAACATATTTAACCCTAGATTATATAAACCAAAAAGTCAAGACATTTTACTTTTTTTTTTAGACTTTTAATTTCTTAATTTTTTGTTACTTTTTTCTATCAACTACTATGATTGTGATTATTGTTTATGTTTGAAATCAATTATATTAGGGAAAGATATTTACTAACAATTATTTTTTTATTCTAATCTTTAATTTTTAACATGTCGACAAGTCTTTATAATGTTCTCTCATAATTAAAAATTGTATCGTTAGAAGATATTTCTATGATCAAGTCAGTTAGATACGTCAAATAATAATAAATACTTAATAATAGACATAATTAATATTTCTCTTTAGAATGTTTTATTTACATTATAATATTTCAACACTTCACATTGTTTCAATTATATGTGTACATATGCATACAAAATTCAATTCGAAATAAAATAACAAAATTATAAAATCAAAACATTTTAGAAAAATAAACTACATAAAAATGTAACAGTATAAATATAGGTGATAAAAGTGTTTAAGTTTAACTATAACTACGTGCATAACATGCAATGTTATTTAGTAATAAATTACATACA